GCTGGACCCTCATAACGAGCAAGCTTAAAAAGCGCGGTATCAAAGATTATCTGCAGAGTATAATTGCTTCATACCTCACGGATAGGAAGGTGGACCTGGGAGATGGTCTCTTGGTCGATGTATGGGCAGGCGTTCCGCAGGGCTCGGTGCTGGGACCCACCCTGTGAAATGTATTATATGATGACGTTATGGAACTGGATACCCCGACGGGGGTAGAGATAATATGTTATGTGGACGACTTGGACGTGTTGGTCACAGCCAACAGCATTGAAGAATCGATCCAAAGGGGCAACAGCGTCCTGTACAAAATAGAGAGTTGGATGGAAAAAAATCATCTGGAGGTTGCTGCAGAGAAAACAGCTTGTGTGGTGTTTGGCTGGAGCTGCAAAAATAAGCGACAAATCTCCTTCAAGTTTGGTGAGCACATCATAAGGCCAAGTAAAGACATTAAATACCTGGGAGTAACTATAGATTACGGACTCTTCTTTAGCCGCCATATTGAAGAAGCTGTTAAGAAGTTCAATGACGTATTTTAAGCAATAGGAAAGATTATGCCTAACGTCGGAGGACCATCCGGCTGTAAGAGACGAGTTTTGGCTACGGTACTCCAGTCTGTCATAGCATACGCTACTCCGGTGTGGTGCGAAGCAATAGGCGTTGCCAGGAATCGCAGGAGACTAGCGTCCTGCCAAAGGAAGGTGGCCCTGCTGTGCATCAGGGCTTACCACACGGGGTCCGCGGATGCAGCCGTGCTGCTCGCTGGCCTAATTCCAATAACTGAGTTGATAAAAGAAAGAACCGAAGTATATAAGAGACATGCAGAGGGGGCAGAGAGACAGAAATATCCGAGAGAGATTGCAACGGAGGAGAGGCAAAGAACTTTTGATAGATGGCAAGCGGAATGGCAGACGAGCGGGGAGAACGGTGTGGCATCTTGGACACGCAAACTAATAAGAAACGTGAGGGACTGGGTCGTGAGAAAGAAAGGAGATCTGTCGTAC